GTTGTGTTAATGGCCTATCATCGGAAATTTTTCTGGAGTCCTTTCTTTTTTTTTTCTCTTTCACAAATATCAAGGAAACTTTGCCCACCGAGGACGTTTCGAAACGTTGGTCTGCGGCACAAAAATAATGGTCGTTCGTTTACGTGTTCGTGCACATATTTCACCGTCGACGACTGCGATAGTGTTTCGTCGAAAACGAACCGGCCGACATGTCGGGCAGACCAACGGCGCTGAGAGAGATTTTCGATGTACCGCAAACCGCTCCCCGGAGCGAATATCGCGCCGTGGTGCACGGTTGTTGACCCAAAAGAGATCACGTTATGTTCGACTAAACGCAAAACGTCTTCGACCGTAACTCGGGTGCACGCACCGTTATAAACGTATGGCGTTGCGATCTTCGAGTGCGTTCGTACGTTTTTCATTCGCTCTCTTCGATTCGAAGTGAATCGCGCGCGCGCTGCGTTCGGCGGCGGTCGTGCTAACCATCGCCCCGACCACGTTTTACCCGTCGCTGCGGGGCCGCGACCGCATAGCCATTCGGGTGACGTTCGGATCGCGCTCGGGTTCGAAATGTTAACGAACCGCAGCCATTTACGCGTTCAACGAACGATCAGTGCAACACGGCACTAACAAGTGCCGTTTCCAAATCAACGTTCGCGAATCGTAGTAATTACGGTGACGCACACGATTCGAAATTGCCGTTCTCACGTGTCGTTGCGATTTTTCTGTTTCAATTTTCATTCCGTACGAACATCATTTGGGACCGTCCGTGTTTTCCATTAAAACCGTGCAATGTTTTGTAGTCAGCAAGTGCGATTCGAACATTTTTGTTCGGGCGAACAGTGCGTTTCACCGATGCCCTCCTGTTCCTGGTCCGCACAAAAGCTTACCGCGATCACTTGGCGTACTGCCACCATCATCGACGTAAAATTTCGACGCGATCGGGAACCGATCGTACCGGAAAGAAGGTTTTTTTTTTTTTTTTATTTCCATCCGCCCCTGTTATGACGCGTCAGTGGCCGCGTCTAATTTTTTCACCCCCGGAGTGATGGACAACCGGACGTTGCCCGAAAACGATAAAAGTCGCGAATCGTCGCTTCCGGCCCCGAGTCGGGTTCGCGAGCGACCGCCGCGCGAACTGGAGCGCCCGCGGAGCTGGTGCCGGGGCGACGGTGATTCGCCGTCTCTCCCGGCCGTCACCAACCGCAAGCTGTCCCAGCATGTTTTCTCGACGGAAACGTTCCCGCGCACGTTGATTCGCGTTTCAGTTCGTTTCGCTTCGTCGTGGTCTCGTATCTAAAAACGAGCGACGTCGAACGGCTGTTGAATTCTCCGTAAAACGTATCTTCCGAACAAGTGGAAAAATAAATTGTTCGCGCATTGTTCCGTCGGCGAAAACTTGCTGGGCCGCCTTGTACGCGCAACACGCGTACACGTATACGTATACATAAACATCGCAATAGTGTACGGGCAGCGCGTAACGGTTATTTCGTTTTTTTTTTTTTCCTTTCCCCCACTCTTCTCCGGTTCGCCGCCGTTCCAGGACGATGACGGCCATATGTTTCGTGTGCAACCTGCCGATCCTCAGCCACCAGGTGGGCCTGGTGTGGCAAGGCGGCAACGGCTGGGACGACATACTCCGCGAGCAGATGGAGGAGACGACGCTCAAGCAGCGGCTGGGCGGGCGACGGGACTCGGCCGCGCAGATCACCACCGAGTCGCCGCCGACGGAGACGGCGGAGACGTCGCCGCCGGTGAGCCGGCGCAGGAGGCGCAGCTCGCTGGCGCAGCTCACCGACAGACGTGGCGGCGACCACGGAAGGGGCGGTGGCGACGGCGGTGGTGGCGGTGGCGGCGGCGGCGGTGGAGGCGGTGGCAAGACGGGCGCGGGTGGCCGGCCTAAGGGCATCACCAGGCGCGAGACGCTGGCCGACATCGCCAAGACGTTGCCGTTCGGTCGGTCCAACACGATGACGTCGTCCCGGAAACGGCGCGAGTCGTCCGTCGACTCGGGCATCAAGTCGTCGTCGTCCAGCAAGGGCGGTGGACGCCGCGACTCCAAGACCGACTTCCGGGCCGACATCGCCAAGCTGCTCAACACCCGTCGCGACTCCGTCATCACGCCCAGCACCGTGTCGCAGCAGCAGGCCAGGCGCAGGGGATCCGGAGAGTAAGTGCCACACGCATTGTTATTGTTGTTGTTGTTGCGGCAGGCCGATAACGGTCGATTATCGGTCACCGTATTTATTATCTCAGACGGTTCTCGCATAGGTCCGTGATAAGAAATGCGTTCCGAAAAACGTTACCGTTTTGGCGTTCGCGAGAATTACTGTTCTGTTATTACGTTTAACGGTTTATACGTTCCGCGTTTGCAGCGGTTTTCGTCGGCGTGTCGTAAAGGAATCGAAAACCAAGTGGTACCCGAAGTGAACGGTTGCCGGTTCTGTTCGGTGTCCCAAGCGGTTCGTCGCGGCGAGAACGAAAAATGAGAACGAAACGATTTCCGTCAGATAAATGTGTAATGTTTTTCGGAAGGCTTCCTCATCACCGGGTGATATCGATAAAAAAGCACATCGAGTGAAATAGGCGCCCGATTTCTGGTCCGGCCCTATCTTGCAGTGCGGTTTTTTTTTTTTTTTTTTACCGGTGTCCTCGTTCTGCGCTTAGATCGCGTTTTACGATTGTCGACGGAGCTAACAGCTCGAGACGCATACGAGGTCCAACCCGAGAACGTTGGTCGCGTTTCACCGCGGTTAGCATCATCCGGTACGGATCAAACATCCGTTAAGGATCACCCCCGAAACGCCGCCATCGAGTGTACACGTCACGGCTACGGTATTACAGCGTAGGCAAACCCGTTCGGGATTAATACTTAACAATTTTTAATACTTGACCAATCACGATTTGATTGCTTACCGTATTCGGATATTTTTGGTGTTTTTTTTTTCTTTGTTCATTATATTTGGAATCACGCAAGACCCTTTTGCGATAAGGAAACATTAACACTTTCATTCGTAACAGTTATAGTCCCGCAGATGTTATAATAATTATAAGAGTTAATGTACGAAATCGATACTATCCATAGCTCGGGAAACGATAACCGCGGTATATATGAAAAATCGAATCAATGTTTTCAATCAGGAACCGTGAAACAATCATGGTCTCAAATCCCGCCGGAGAACGGACAACTGTTCGCGTATAATTTACCGTATCGGAAAAACACCACGTACACTCGAGATGGTTATGAGTGCACCTGTAGTGGATACTTTATTCGGATGGAATCGCATGAGTTCTACGGAAAATTCAATTTTTAACCGGTTTCCTGGTTGTGAAGTATCCGCAATCTTGACGGGACGAAAACCGATCAACACGATTAGGAATGGTTTTCGCGATGACAGGTTTCATTGTACATACGTGTAACGATTTTCAAGTGTACATTAACGTTTTCGTTTTTTAATTTGACACATTATTATATTATTGACCGTGTATAGTAAGCTCTTATCCGTAATACAATAACGTTTCTTGATTCGTTTCATCCCGGCTTGATCATTAGATGTCCTCTGCTCTGTTCGGAAAATCGAAACGGTTAGTGTAATTTTCTAAAGATTTTGAGTTGCAACATAATTTGTTTGAAATCATAATGTTATGCGGATGAACAATGGAAACCCGTAGGGAAGAGAAAAAATATTAATGTTAATAAATATGTTCAATAACACGCTTTACTAGTTAAAAAATGTTGCGAAAGTATCGATAATTGTATCTTTCAATTTATTTTTGAATATTAAAGTTAAAAAATTGAAAAAATACACGATAATCGCATTGTGATAACGTCTACTGTTTATTTTACATAACATGTAACCACATCGTTACTTTTACATTTCTACCGGTACCTAAGTGTTCGGGTGATTCATTGGAGTTCAATATGTCAGTCCACTGATATGCAACATTTCACTAGACCACTAACAATCGAGATTGTGATCAGATGACCGATTCGTCCTAGCGTCTCCTCAAATATAACAATCCTTTTGTTCAGGACGTCTGCAGGATTATGTCTAGAACTTTGTGAACACCACAAGGAGCACTATCATTCGAGACTCGTATTAGACGAAACCTATAGTCTAGCAGCTGAATTCCCCGTAGGATTAAGAAAACAAAACGTTAATGAGTATCGTCTACGTCGGAAAGGGCGTGGGACGTCGGTGCATAGCGTGATGGATTCTCGATCCGCGATGGTATCCACGAGGTGAGGGAAAAATTGTTTTTTTCGTTTCGAAAACATGTACGCGTGTTTCACGTATATCCTGCTTCCGAGAACCTGTCGGCTCTTTTCAACCCGATGTCCTACTCCTGGGGGTAAGCCTCAGAGTTCTTTTATGCTTGTCAAACTGCACTGTTTGTGTGATTGGTACCCTTTTTGAGGATCAATTTACCGTTAAATTTCACGGAATCGTCCTTAGTCGCCGGTTTTCTAACGTTAGCGCCACGCTGTTTCCACGTAAACAGGCCGGTTAGGACTCGTTTGCGCACATATTAAAATATTTATACAACTCGTTTGCGCAAAAATTGTGAACAATGGAAACCTGCTTGTAAGTACGGTTTTGGGTATACATGGTGTCTTAAAGTATAATGATTATTTTAAATCATGGTTTCCCATCAATTGTCATCTATCTGTAATAGGGATCTTATAATCGCGATTTCTGTGCTCACTAATTAAATAAGTCGTGTGGGATAAGCTTTAATCTTTATTGCTTTATTTCTAATCTAAAACTATTTTTGTTAAATTATTTCTTATAAGTTATAACAAATCTTTTAATTTTCGTTTAGTTTCCGGTTTTGGCGAAATAATGATGGACGCTATTTGTTTAACACGGAGAGTAAAACGTTGTATAGTGTTGAATAATTTTAAATTTCGAGAGTATAGGAAATTAAAAAATGGAAATTTCAATTTTCGGTGTACTAATAAACTTTGTAATGCTAGTGTAATTTTAAGCAATAACAGTGACCAAATTTTTGACCAATCTAAAAGTTCGGAGCATAACCATGAGGTATATTGAGATCAAATTATATCTAGAGAAATTGTAAAAGGCTCATTGAAAAGGAAGATAGAAAATGATCTACATACTCGTCCAAACAAATTACTACACCAAGAGTTAAAAATTAGTAACGTTGCTGAGAACATGGAACATGGTGATTTGAATCTGATACGTCGTTCAATATATGATGTACGAAAAAACATTTTCCCACACTACCATCAAACTATGACGAGTCTTTAAAGCAACTTTTAGAAATGAAACAAACGTTGTTGTATAAAGGTAAACAATTTTATTTTTCAAGCGATGATTATTTTATTATTTTATTTACTTGTAAAAATAACTTGGACATGCTTTCTAATAATGAATACATGTTTGGTGATGGACCTTTTACTTATGCGCCAAAAAATTTCATACAATTCATGCTTATACAAATTATTATTATTTATCGGTAGTATACTATTTTTTTAAAAAATAAACATGCATCAATATATGTGTCCATGTGGAAAACCATAATGAACTTGTCAATGCAGTTATAAGGAAAAAACTTAAGTGTAAAAATATTTCAAGCAGATTTTTAAAAAGCTTTTAAAAAGCTTAATTAAGTCCTAAGCCTTATAAAGGGTGAAAGAAAATGTTGTAGAGTATAATAATGAAAAAAATTGTTGGTCCACAGCCCAGGTTACAACCAATTCGAAAATTTGGAGGTAGGTACACAGGTTATGTACACTCTATACGTGGATAAATTTCTTCGAAAAAAGGTTTCTATTGTTCGCAAATTGTGCGCAAATGAGTTGTGTTTTTGTGCACAAAGGAGTTGTAAAAAAGGTAAATTTGCGCAAACGAGTTGTAACCAACAGGCCTTGTTTAATGATCTAACATATTGTTAGCGTACCTGTTGAGCATGCCAATAAAACAAAAGTGTTCCAAGAGAAACGCATTTCTTAAAATCCCATAATAAAACCTGTGCATTCTATAAATCGATTGTGACGACAGGCTAACGAAAAAGTCCCGGCGAGCAACCGAGAAGATATTGAAATGGCCGATCGGACTTGTTTGGATTTCACAACAGCCGATGACGTAATATTCTAATGCAGCGGTTCTCAAACTGTGCACTGCAGAGCCCTTGGGATCCATGTGAAAATTCCAAGATCTCCATGGTACCGTGGGCACATCTGAATTAATTAAATTCCAATATTATTTTATTCTTCAGTTATCGAGGAATAACACTGGTATGATTACTTAAATCGCGCAAGGAACTGTATGTTTTTTTAATCGGAAACCCATTTTGTTTAAAATCAAACTTATCGATAACATTTAGTTATTTCGACTACATAACTCAGCAGATATTTTTTTCACAGAATCAAATTAAATACATTTATTAATACGTGGTAAAATCACCATAGTTTTCACAAAAAATGGCAACAATTACATTTGGGCCGTGCATTTTTCTCGACATAATACGTATAATTTTGACTAGTTAAAGAAATATTTAGAATTGACCAGCGATTGATGAAATTATTACATCATTATTTGAGTACTTGATATTGTTGTTTCATATAGATATTCCTGATTTTCGGGGCTCCAAAAAATTGTTTAAAACTATAAGGGTTCCACGAACAAAAAAGTTTGAGAACCATTGTTCTAGTGCATTGCGATAATAATATGAACTCATAGCGGCGCTCTTCGCTCCCGTGGTGATGTCACTGTATCGGCATTATACATCGGAAAGTATACTATATAAAATCAAGAACGCGTAATTTCCGGTTATCTTACTTTCGGAAGAAGGCAAAACTCGAGCGTCGCGCGAAGCACTCTGGGTGAGGATCAAAACCGTGTCGAGTACCCTTGTAGGAAATTTCTCGCAATCAAAGGACGATAAGCTGACTACAATCAAATCAAAAATTGATGTTGCCCGAAAAACGAGACCTATCGGTGAAACGGTTACAAGATAAGTGAATTGTAGCTCTATGTTGTCAACATAATTATTGGTTATCGCCGTTAAAATCGGTATGATCAAAATATTTTGTAAACTGTTTTTTTTTTCAATAACGGTGATAACACGATTAACTCGTATTTTCAATTGATTTTATGCCACGTCAGAAATTTTTTATTAAAGCACAATTTAAAAGTCACTGTA